TATATGCAACAGAAATCCTAATGCTCCCATATCGGGCATACCATTCTGGCAGATTACTGCAGTGCTAGCAAAGCAGCAGGGGCAGAGGTTAATTGCCTGGCTATTCAGATGGCAGGGAGCAATGCAAGCAGACAGGAAATGGGGGAGGGGATTAGAAATGAAAGGAATAGAATTAAGAAAATATTAAAACATTTAATATTTACTTAGCGGTGAAAACTGAGAGACCGCAATCTGTAAAGCTTCTTGGCTTACTTTATGTAAAATATTGTGACAAGGAAATAAGAACGAGTTCTAGACTGAAATATTACTTTCCTTTTGTTTCCAGCACATGATAGAACATTCAATCACCATTTACAGTGTTACAAGCTTCAATTCCATATATTCCCCAAAAGAGGACACGTGCAGCCAAGAAAACATCAGGCACACAGATTAACCAAGAACCCTTGAGCAAGAGAGAGATATCGTGCTAGTTCTGTGAAAAGACCTACATGGGATTTTACTGTACACTAAGGATGCTTTGCTCTTGTGGTCCTGAAAGCTAATTGGAAAAAGGTCTACTGCCTCATAAATTTTGGAGCCATATAAATTCAATGCCCACAAGTACTTTTGAACTGCATTCTATTCTAGTGGATCCAGATGGCTAGCCAGCATATAGAACATCTCTAGCAGGTCAGAAGACCCTGAAACAAAAGGTGTTAATGAAAGGTTTGATGGAAGGAGCGGGGAGCAAAGAAACTCAATGCTTCACTTTGCAATCAATTTCTTCCCTTCCACTTGAAATGTTAACACTGCCAGATCCGAATTATACTTTTACCTCCACACAAACGGCCACAAGCAAACCATATACATTACACTACAATACATTAGACCATAGGTTCCACGGAGAGCAATAAGAACTCAAGAGAGAAGCTGTGCATCTTTTCACCACCTCATTCCCTTGGCAATATTCTACACATGCATTGATACAATGTCATTCTCTTCCCTCACAAAGGAAAAATAGGAATAATATATGATTGACTGTGAGACAGATAGAATTAAACTCAACTATAATGCCCACTATAATTGAATAAACTCCGATTACTCACTCTCTAGCTGCACATGTGAAGAAAGGTGGAGATTTCCACAGGATCATGCGGTGCCCTCAGGAGAGGAGGAATAAGGCAAGACAATTGGATGTTTCATTATCGTGTCACACTATACACGGTTTGTATGTGCTTTTAACAAAATCATAATGGAGCTTCTGACAAAGAAGATCCTTTGCCTATCTGATGCCATCCTTCCAGAATACTCATTCTACCACCTTCCCATTACAGCAGTAAGATGGTACTTAAATTGGTTCAGTGTCCCAGCCTCATCTAACCTTCAAAGAAATTACCCTCTATGGAAATACTTCAAGGTATCTGTCCTAAAGTTGCCCTTCATAAACCTGAACCTTCTCGTCCTGCTGCTTTGGTATATTAGAAAAGATTGTTCTGAGTTAATTTCTCTATCTCATGTGTTAACCTTTATGCCTATACAAGGTGCCCTCTGTAATATCTCAAGGTCAAAGAGCCTTATCGTATCTAGGTGTTCCTGATATTTTGTCAGTTCACCACTGGGGATTAACATTTTTGCTCCTGCTGGAGGTTGGGCAAAAGGAAGTGTGTGCCAAACTCCAGATGTGGCCTGACCAGATCACTGTACAGTTGGACTCTTGAAGATCTGAACTCAACAGATTTGGCAGCATCTGGTCCTTATTTCTACTGCTTTTGGGTACATCTGAGATGGCAGATTCAACATATTGTGCCATTAAACCACCATGATCTAATTACTGCAATACTATTGAGCTGCGATATGTAATTTCTGTCACTATAGCATCTCAGTGAGCTAACTAAATATTAGAGCTCCCACTCCTTTTACTGCTGCATTTCAGTGTACTCCAGTGGTTCTTTGATATCTGTAAGGATATCTACCACAGGCACTGATCCACAAAATGCAGACCTACACAGACCTGGGAAATTGCATGCCTGAAAATAAAATCCACTTCTTACTAATGACAGTGAGTTCCAGATACGACGCGTATAATTTTATAAGGACTGTCATAACTCAGTTTCCCCCAAATGGTTCAGGGAGTTTACTCAGTGAGTAGCTGAGCCAGACTGGTAAATTTCCAATTTCAATCCCTGGTCTATGTTTAGCTAGCTCATTCAACAAGCGTAAGAGTAGGGCTGCTGCAATTCATCTGATTTCCCTGGGTTAGGGAAGCAAAACAAAACTCAATTCCTGATCGCTATACAGTGACCCTTGCTGGAGTTGGGGGTGTGTGTTTGTCAACATTGGTCAAATGCAGGATCTTGTGATGCAGATGCAGAAAGACTGCTACTATATCGCTGTGAAGATTCACACATAAATAATACATTGGGGTGAAATACTAAAGCCTGAATTTCCACCTAGTCTGAGCCTTTAAGTCTATCTTGTCTTAAGATTTAAGATCACGCAGAATTTAGAACATTCTTTAAATCTGGTCTTAATCTGAAAGACAGTTTCTCCAGTTCTTGAAAAGAATCAGTTTCCATATTAAGACCGAATTTAATATCTTTCCACAATTCTGCTCGATCTTAAACTTTAAGGCAAAATGGTCTTGCAAGGCTGAGTCTCGGTGGAATTTTTAGTCTCAGATGAATGACCAACAATCAGTACCCCAGTAAAAGGAAAAGAGAATCAAATACCTTCATTTGGAGGAGAGGGAGAACGTTGGCGAGAAAAACAATAAATTGTCATAATTTACCGTCACAGGAAGCGGGATATCTAGTTGCAATTTATAATGTTTCTGGGCCAAATACCGAGTGTTTCGACAATATTGTACAACGTAATTTATCAGCATCAACTATACTAAGCACTGCATTCTAAAAGTACTGACTTGTTTAGCGAAACAGAATTCTGTTTCAACTCTGAAACACTGCTGTCAGACTCAACACTGTTCAGAGGAAGTGCAAGGATTATATATATAAACATAAGGGCTTTAATATAATACATATATTATATCCACAATGACCAACCTTATATTAAGTGCACATAAGTGCACCCCAACATAAGTTAGAATTACGTTACCCATTTCCAAGAAACCAATCTGAAATTTTTTAAGCTTCTCCACTTTCATTAACTACCAATATAAATAGCAGAACAGTTACACTGTCTCGCCTGGAGTGTTCCTGAGAACTTGAAGGTGTTCAGTTGACAAATAGCAAGTGCATCCACTCAAAGGAAAAAGGCAGCCATTAATCTGCCACTGAAGTATGCTCCGTATTTCAGGATTGTATAACTGCACAATTTAACACTTTAACCTTAGTCTTATACTGCACCTTGAACATAAGCGGTAGCCAGCAAATGCAGAAAGCAGAAGGAAGAAGATTTTTTGTTTTTATATGAAAATATAACTGGATTTCAAATTTTATATGTTCCGGAAGATAACACATTGGCCTGGTCCACTTGACAGAATCCAACATGACAGCAGATTTCATGACCTCCCGTTTGTTGAGACTGATTAATTGTGCAGTGCTTAGACAATTAGAATTGTACTGTGAAGAAATTATGTCTTGTAAGCATTATAGATTCTGCCATGCTTTGTATGTCGTCAGAGAAGATCCAACAATAAATGCAGTTCAATAATTTCAAATTGAAGAGGTTTATAAATGTGACCTAAATACATGTGTTACTTTACTCTGGCCTAATGCCATAGACCCAGGCTTTCTCCTTAAAACGATGCCACACTTTAAGAGGCACAAGTTAGATGGAGTAAAATGCATTACAAAACAAGACCAGAGGAAAACCTGTTTGACCTAATGTGGCTCCACTAGTTAAGAGTCAAGAGCATAATGGGGATATCTTGTAAACATTACAGATCTTACTAACAGAACACCTTTCGCTAAACAAACCTGTTGCAAAGAATTCTGCTTGTCTTTCAAACTATGTGTTGCATATATTTATGGAGTTATCTTGGAATCCTTTTTCTGTTTAAGCTGGGTGCTGGTGAGAAAATCAGCAGGAGTAGTAGACTGGCAGGGCAGGACAAGAAAGCTGAATTAACACCATCAAGCAAGCACTTTGCTTAATAACAATGGGGTTAAATTTGAGGCCCATGAGATGATTATCACATTGAATAACTGCCGACGACTTCATCTCACCCCAATGCTTCCGTTAATGGTAAAGTTTGAGAAGCTGGGTCTATGGCATTGGGCTGCCAACATAAGGGCTTTGGTATTTATGAGTGGAATACTAGATTTTTTTTTGACCTCACCAATGAGAAAGGCATCGGAGAGGAAATGACATGAGGGTAGTCTTTGTCATCACAATTTGATAAATATCATTTGGATCACAAATATGATCCTTTATCCGTAACAATATTAATCACGTTCCCTCTCACTTTTCTCGGCCAGGTCCCCTCGTTATATCAACAGTGGCTCCCCATTCAAACAAGACGGGCAGGAAAGAAACCAATCGAGCATTTCATTGAACTCTAATTCTTTGCAGCTTTGCTTTTTAAAGAGAATTACTAACAGTGAGTCTCCATCTTAAAACACTAAGCCTCGCACTGCCCTTAAACACGAACAGAATTATAGCAACCGAAAATGCTGGTCATCCGAAAGAGAAACATATGTTTGCGTGACGAGTGTGGCTCATCATCTTAATGCTCCCTCTGATGTTTTAAAACCACTGAACATATCTTTTGCTTTCAGTCACTGTGTTTTTCCTAGTTTTATTTCAGCTTTCCTGCACCTAGAGTCTATCTTTTTAAACATTTGCTACTGTGTTGATCAGTTTCCAACATCAGAGAAGGTTCCAATTCCATCACTGACGATGATATGTGATGTTGTTATTAGCTTTAATTTTAGATGTGGATGAGAGTACAAAGGTCATTGTCCAATGATAAACAAAAAAAAGTCAATGAGTGAATAAGACATTGCTGATGTGCTCTTTGATGTAATAAATAACCGATCGCAAAAGATCAATAGATCCCTTACCCAGGATCCTCCAAGAAGCCTTCCATTTCATCCTTCTGTTCTGCCACTGTGGACTCCAAATCCAGATAGGTGCCATTGTGGGACAGCTGCAGTGCACAGTCATCAATCTGGAAGGAACAACAAACAAACACTAACTAAACGCTAATCATTGGTATACGATCAGAGTCAACAACATCTTGCATTTATATATCGCCCTTTCCAACGGTAGTGTCTGGATCACTTAAGAATAACGCAATTTGACCCTGAGTCAGGGTCACTAATTAAACAGAGATCTCCCCTCTCACAGCATTGTCAGTTATAAGTTTAAAATTGAATATCAATCTCCACCCTATGATATGAGTTCACTCCTTTGGATAAGGACACATGGTCAGTGGGTTAGCTCCCTTTCAATGTTATTAACATTTAACACACATATTCAGGTGTATTATAAAACTATTTCAATCAAGATGCAGCTAAGGATAAAAAGAGGCATAACATCTGAGAAACTACTTAATTGTATCTGGATTAAATTATATTGACTTTTTATTTATATGAGCCACTTCCAGAGGGCTTCTCATTTAAAGGTAATTAGAACTAAATCAACTGAATAATATTTGCCAGGGATTGAATTCTGTGGATGTGGTTAAAACTACAACAACAGTGAAAGTAAATCCCTGATCAAATTAACTGACTTTTATGAGCTCAAATATTTCACTCAAGGAGGTCAGAATGAAACAATATTGAAAGGCAACCTGGTAGCACGTACATCATGGAGGAGCAGAACATGGGGCTACTGCTCCATTTATTTACCCACACCAGGCAACCAGACTGGCAAAGGGGTGGCAATAAACTGAAGGAAGAAGATTTCTTGAATGTGGGGAGGGGCAGCGAGCAGACAGGTCAGCCAGGGCTCAATTTAAGTGACATTAGCAGAGGCATGGATTCTACTGCTTCAACAACAGTGCGTACATTGCAGGGGGATTGAATGGACTCATCATGTTGAGTCCTGTAGCTCAGTGGTTGGAACACAGGCCTCGCAAGTGAGAGACGTGAGTTTGATTCCTGGCAGGGCAAAACGTTGGGCAAGTTTCCTTACTCCATACATCTCTTTTTAACTAGCAGTTAGTAGGAACACAGTTGTCAGTTGATCGGCGGATCACTTTTTTGGGGGTAATAATTCCTTCCAAAAAAATAATAAATTGGTCACTCAATCCATGATTGTTTGTGGGACTCTGCTGTGCACAATTGGCTGCCACGTTTCACCCACAAAATATACAGTCAATTCACTTTAAAGTATATTCTGTGAAGCGCTTTGAGACGTCTCAAAGACATGATAAGGTGCAATATCAAATGCAAAGATTATTATTATTATTTTTATGTTCTTTCCAATTCAAACATTTATTCCATTCTCCCACAAATGCAATTCACCTGGACATTACTTATTCTGTATCTTAGTTGCCTATTCATGCTCATTATCAGGATTTCCAGGTCAGGTTATACGAGTAGTCAATCTTCCTCTGAAAAGCCCCAGCAATGTAGTTTCACCTCAACCTCACAAGAGTCCTCTCTCTCACTGGAGCAATATGTCATTTCCATTCCGAATACCAGCCTTTTTAACAAAGATTTTAATTGAATAATGGATGGAGGGAGAATCAGAATCAGGTTAGGCTTTCCATGCTGGATATCACAAGCACCTCACAGTACCCACTGGTATTGACTCTTACAGGGGTACTGTTGGACATCAACTCTCTGATAACCCCATCTTGTCCTCACACAGTACCTATATGAATACAATTTCCTCCAGAGCTTACTGAGTAGTGACCAGGAGTAGGAACTCTTGGCTGTAAAGCAGGCAACTGATCACATCAATGGAATATAGGGTTGGGAGAAAGTGTTGGGGATATTGCAGTGCAGATGATCTTCTCCTCACCCAGCTCTAGCAGAGTCAACTGGATAGCAACCAGTATCAGGAACCCCGGGTGAATTTTTTCTCCTTCTTTCGAACACCAAGACCAACTTTAATCCTTCAGGTTGTGGCCAGGTGAGATCAGCTAACTCAGCACAGACCTGGAATTGAACCTGAAGCCATCATTTTGTTTTGTGTGGCTCATACCCTGACTGCATAAATTTGCTGGGGGGAGTTGAGTGAAGTGCTTTAATTTACTTTAGGTCCCTTATTTGGTCTTGAGACCTGCTGAATCATTCCCTGAAGTCACGCTTGCTGAAGAGCTATTTTTAAATCCAATTCAGATTTTTTGGGGGCGGCGGCGTTGGAAGGGTAAGAAAAATTCTTATATATAGTTTTATTTAAAAAAGGCACTTATTTCAGTTAATAGTTAGAAAATCCAGAATATGTCCTCAGGCTCTTCCTTTTTTGTTCTCTGCTTCCGTTTGAACTGTTTTAGAATTGGGGATAAGATTTTAGTCAGTCACGTAGTACAATAATTATCTTCACAAGTAATGCTGAGCAGATAAGTCGTGAGTGATAGTCATGAGTGGTTAATCTGGCAGCTCAACGTGTGGCAACATTGATGTACGTCACCAACGGTTGTGACATGTTCTATTTATACCACACATGTTGAGTTTTCAGCTGATAACAAAATACATGAATTTTCATCAGCTGTTGCAGCCCCTGCCTTGTCTGATATCAGCTAATTCAGCAAATATCCTGTAACTAATTTGGGATGATCCCAGAAAATCTGTGCTGGTTCCTGAGTCCTGACACACTGACCTAGAACCATAGAAATTTACAGCACAGAAAAAGGCCATTCGGCCCACCTTGTCTGTGCCGGCTCTTGTAAGAATAATTTAAGAGTGTCAGCCTGGGGCAGCGGTAGCTCTCTCGCCTCTGAATAAAAGGTTGTGGGTTCAAGCCCCACATCTGGACTTGACTCACATCATCTAAACTGACAATCCAACGCAATGCTGGGGTATGTTGCCTTGTCAGAGATGCCGTCCTGCGGGTGAGTCGTTAAAACGAGGTCCCTTCTGCCTGTTTATATGGATGTTAAAGCTCCCATAGCACTATTTGAAAAGAGAACAGAGTTTCTCCCAGTGACCTGGCCAACAATCCCCCCCCAAAAAAATGAGTCACTCAATCCATGGCTGTTTGTAGGACATTGCAGCGCGCAACTGGCTACTGCGTTTCACCCAGAATATGTACAGTCAATCCATTTTATATACGGTGAAGCACTTTGAGTTGTCTCAATACCGTGATAAAGTACTATAGTAAATTCAAGGATGATTATTATTTTTAATTCTTTCGGCCTCATTTACCTGATCTTTCTCCAAACCCCTGGAGTTTACCCCTTTTGGGATATTTATCTAGTTCTGTTCAGAAAGCTTATACAGCTTCTGCTTCAACCATCGCTTCCAGCGTGACATTCCATATCTCCTAACCTCCCCATTTGCTAATAATCTTAAATTGATGCCCTCTGGTCAATGACTCAGCCAACAATTATTTAATTTCTCCCTATTGACTCTGATCAAAATCCCTCATAATTTTGAAGACCTTCAATGATCTATTGAAAGATATTTCATCAGAGCCTAGTGTATAATAAGTAGGGTCCTTTCATTCCTGGTAAAGATCCTCTTTCCATAGAAGTCTGTTGTTTTTTCTGACTGGAAAATAAAAGAAAACGGCCAGGTGAAGGTGAAACCATGGCAAGAAAAATTGAAGCATATGGGAAGAGGAGAAATAAATTTGTAAGCAAAACAACGAAATGCAACAATAACTCTAGAAAAATGATGCATGATCAGAAAGAAGGAAATGGGCCTTTGGCACATTTTAACTCATCCTTCAGGATTACATCCTGGCATCTTCAAACACCATCAAACTGTTTCTTAAGCAAGCATATTGACAACAAGGTCAAATGCAGATATGAACACAATTTTCACTGGGATGGAAGTGTGGGTTAATTTTCATGAGAGCCATTATGGAAGGCAGGTTATGATAGGCAGCATGGAGAGCTGCTCACCGCCCTGACTCCAATATGATTTTTAATGAATAAAACTAGCTGATCAGGTAGTTAACACTGTAAAAACTGGGTAATAGTGAAGCCTCCACCAGTGTTTGTGTTAACTTGCAAAGTTGTTCCTTTTTTGACTGTGACTTATAAATTTGCATATGTACAGGTATAGGAAAGTAATTATTTGAGGGGAATGTACGTGTGTGTGGGGAGGTTGCTAAATATATCTCCTTGTAAACATTTTGTACATTCTGCCTAAAGCAACTTGTTGAACTCCCTGGAGTACTTGTTTCAACAACAACAACAAGATTACATTTGTATAACGTTTTCATGTCGGGAGGACGTCCCAAGGCACTGGACAGTGTACAGCATTTCAGACCCGAGCTGGGGTCTGGGGGAGAATGGAGGGTAGGGGAAGGGGGGTGGCCTATGGCATGGTCGAAGAGGAGGGTCTTGAGGCAGGACTTGAAGAAGGCTAAGGAGGGGCCGAGGCAGAGTGATTGGGGGATAGAATTCCAGAGGTTGGGGGCAGAGTGGCTGAAGGCTCTCCCGCCAATGGTGGGCGAGTGGGTCGGGGGACGTGGAGCAGGCCGGAGCCGGCTGAGCGGAGGGAACGGGCAGGTTGGTAGGGGGTTAGGAGGTCGCAGAGGTAAGGTGGGGCGAGGCCATGGAGGGCTTTGTATGTGAGGACTAGGATCTTGAACTGGATCCTCTGAAGGATAGGGAGCCAATGGAGTCGGGAGAGAGTGGGGAAGATGGGGTCACGGAGTTTGGTGCGGGAGAGGACATGGGCTGCAGGGTTCTGGATTATCTATAGCCTGTGGAGGGAGGAGTTGGGAAGGCCGACAAGCAGGGAGTTTGCATAGTCGAGACTGGAGGTGATGAAGACATGAACAAGAGTTTCAGCGGCCTGAGGTAGTGGCGGAGTCGGGTGATGTTACAGAGGTGAGGGAAGGCAGAGCGGGTCATGGTTTGGATGTGGGGAAGAAAAGACAGTTGAGGGTCGAACAAGACACTTAGGTTCCTGACTGGCTTGGTGAGTTATAGTGTGCAACCATGGAGGTTGTACAAAAGTACACAAGTACGTTTTAAAACTAGGGGATCAAACTTGAGACATTCCTGAACTATGTGGCTCAGTATTGTACCACGCAATGCATTTC